CTTTCCTCGGATGAGTGTTTATCGATGACTGGATGACTCTTAACAGCAGTCCACAGAAGAGGGATTATCTCGGAAGGGAAACTCTTCCCTCCCGTTGCATTTTTCCATTCGAACTTTTCACCAACTTCGTAGTTCCATTCTTGAGTAGACCCGGAATTCCGAAAAGTATAGGCCTCTACGTTCTGAATAATCCCTCGCTACGCTGACATAATATTCTTATCAGCCAAACCAATAGAGAGAATCATTGAAACGAGCGGTGCGCATAATTGAGGAATGCAGTAAGAAAGTTTTTCTCACTTGGAAATGAAGTTTAGCATAATTAGAAGGATGAGAAAGGCAGATCAGTGATGGCCGTGTGAATCCTTTGAAAATAAGGGAAAGACGTGAAAACGAATTGAGCCCTGTAGAAACCCCTCTCGTTAGACCATGCTTTCTCCGGTGGACACCAAGTAGAGTTCATCTAGTTCTTTGGATCAGAATGACGGAAGATGGACAAACGTCGTATGAAATAGTAATTTACTCAATTTTAGATCTACAAAACAAATTTCAAGCTTCCAAAATTTTTTAGATAAAAATAACTTCTCTTGGAAGGATCAGTTATATCAAATGAGTAATAATCGTTCATCCGCCTGTTTTGGCGGTCTAAAGTGGCATTCAACTGAGAAAACCCAACCGTTGACAAACTTCACCTTTGTTCGAAAATGCACAAACGTCCCTCCACTGGATAGCACCAAGTCATTACAAATTGTTGTTGCAGCCAGACTGTAGCCCCCTCAGGGTATCCAAAAAAGCCGCGGTCTTAATGGAGATGGGTGGTCACATTGTACTATTGCTAGAAGCTCCGGGCTAAGCTGTTTCTTTAAATGTTTGACTTCGGAAGATGCCAAGATCCAAAGGTGCTTTAGCAGACAGGCTCCAGGGAAACAGTTTCTGAAACAGTGGTGAACTTTAGAAAAGATCTAGTTTCATAAGTCCAGGCGGCCTGTGCGTGTCTTGTGTGGTATATAAATTCCAGTGAAAAGCACATATGGACAGATTCATGAGCAGAGCCTACTTAGCTATTCTGGAAAGTGTTGGTCCTCGCCATCGGCAGCTTGCGGTAATGTGGTTGATATAAGTCACGGGAAGCACCAAGTGATCAGGGGACCTTCACTGATCCCGAAATGAGTAGTGAAAATGAACAGTTTATGGGACTAGTGGACACGCTTCGCTGTTCGTCCGTCACGTGTTCAACTCAATACGACGACTAACTGAGCCTTATTAGTGCTAAGCGTGCCTACCTTCAAGTTCATGTCACCAGGCTTTTAGCCTGACATAAAAAGAACATCTAGAGAGTCATGGAGATTATAATTCGCCCATTAGAACAGCTTTGGATTCAATCACCATGGAGTGATTGATATCTATTTCTTCACAAGCGGTGTCGGTTGAATTGTGCGGGGGTGAAGAGAAACGGACATGCACTCACGTATGATGCTCCTGTTTGATGGCCAAACACACTACCCACCCCGGTTATCCAGCCGCAGCGACTTCTGTGTCACCAGTGTTGTGTAGCGGGAACGAGGAAAAGCGATGGGTTAGTCAGTTCCAGCTTAAGTGGTCACATGAATCTTGCGATGTTTATCATCCAACCCGTATCTAATCACCGAACACCATAAACTGGACGGAAGTCCATAAAGTTGTCTATCATATGGTAGACGTAATAAGTACCCTCTCTCTGTTCCTGTGGTCTTGATCCGTAATACAGCTAGATCCACAACATAGCCATTATTTTTGCATTTCATTCCCCTACTAATTGGATGTAGTACCCTTCATGCTAACATTGTTAACGTAACTAACTCAAGGATCGCACTCAGCCAGAATCAGTTTAGTAATGTTCAGATAATCTGCCCTAGCTGACTTGAGCTTCTGCTCGAACCATAGAATGATGAATTTCTACGAATAAATGTGTAAACACACATTACTCTGAGCTGTCAATGCACCGTGGCCAAATGTCTAGGAATCCAGTTGAGATGGCGAAGTTCCCGATCGTCCTTGTATGGTAGCACACAGCGATTAGTTTACAACCATTCACTACATCCGTTGTGGTTTTTAGGTGGTGGCTTGGAGTCCTCACCATGAACAGTTTTTTCGAGCACCAGTTCCTCAGGTTGAAGCAGCTGACTGGTTCTTTGTTGACTATGGCTGTGTAAAACGGCGTGGAGTTTACTAAAACCTGATAGTTTACCAACTACTTTTCTGACTAAAGTATGACCTGGAAAATTTGAGGAAACATAAGAAACCTAACTCATCAATTTAGGCGTCTTCAAGAATACCTACCTTCAGTAGGGAATAAAAGAAAAAAGTTTTATGCCCATCAGTGTCCAAAACTTCCATGCCCTAACTGTTTTTGTCCTGAGGTGACCGCACGAAAGCAGAGACGTTATTTCAACGAAATATTATACCATTCTTAAAACTTCCACTAATACTCCACGCTGAAGAATAAAACTTCTCATGCATAATCCAAACATAGAAATGGAGACCTTCTCCATTGCCGTAACTTGAGGTACATTAAATCAGTGCTGTGCTTATTCAACGTCATGGTGGTCCAGCCAAATCCCTGTCATTCATAAGCGAGCGACACCATGGTAGGCTTGAGGCATTCTCCAAGTTTCTGACAACCGGAAGCGATGGAGGATGACGCGATTTAGGCGTAACACCTCTGACTGCTCATTTTATAAATTAACCACATTAGCCCCCTGCACTCATCCAAGGGCTGATTACACCTTGAAGTCAATTTGGCGGAAACAAGGGTTGAAAACCTGGCCGCTGCGCGTCAAAGACCTCCAGTGTTTCTTTAGAGAATTCTACGGATCTGGTGGGAACACTTGATCACTAATGCTGATGTACGTCTTTGGAAGAACTAACACGTCCACGATGGATGTATTCATCATACTACATGGCTTGCACTGGTTTGGCCACATGCTCCATATGTTGGTTAAGCCACTTTCTCGGAGGGTTCTTTTAGCGCAACCACGTGGTCTGTGTAAACGAGCCAGGGGAGGTCAGTGAGTTAGCAGCGAGTTGTGAAAACCATTATCAGCAAACTCAGATGTGCTGGTCATTGCTGTCTCCCTGGATGGAGATATCGAGACGAGACACGTCATTGGTTAAAGATATTGCCAAACATAGCCCAATCGCGCTTTCAATTGCGCTTGTGCGCTCAA